TTTACCTAATGCAGAGAAGATTGAAGCAGTACTTGACAATGAAATCATTTCCACTAAAGAAGGTGGGTGCCAAAGGTACCTAGTTCATTGGGAAGGAAAACTGGTGACAGAGGACACGTGGATTGGGCTGAATGAGCTGTAGAGATTAAGTCCAGTTCTTTTAGAGTTATGCGAGAGTTCTTGAGATGTTCACTTGATGGGGTCGAGTTTTCTCCCACCCGGGGAGAATGATAAGGACATCAGCAAGAGATTTTTGGCGCATTTATCAAAGGAGGCATCAGAGATCGAAAGTCATGATCAGGAGCCTTTATTTTTTATGCATTTTATGTATTGTTTATTTTTATATTTCAATTTTTCTTATTTTACCCCTATGGGTAGTTAGTTTGCTGTTGTAGCCATGAGGACATTTTAGTCCTTTTTTCTTTTGTCTGTTGAAACCTATATATATGGGCCCCTCTATTGTATTACGATGATAATTTGATGAATAAAATTTCTAGCTTTTGTTTTCTTCATGTTGTGAGCTTTGAGAGAAGAAAGAGAACCTTAGATGAGGGTGATTTCAATACCCGTCAGTCTTCAGAAGAGTCCAAGGCTTGCGACTAGTATCTTGTGGTTGATCCATCTTCCCCCTCCCTTACCTCCACCACCGGCCACCCTCCTAACCCATCCCAAACCCGCAGGTTTTCAATTCCCCCTTCGTCCCCCCCTTCAAAACCCGATGCCCCTCCCCTTGTCGCCGCCCCACCACCCCAAGCCGCCGACCTCCCATGATCTCCAAATTGCCGGCCAACTAGTGCCCACAAGTTTGATTCTCAATTCAATTTTCCCCTTAGTCACCTTCCTAAAATAGCTTATTATTAATTAGGAAAGTTTCCTATTTGAATTCAAATCAATATTTGAGTTTACCCCTTTAATTTAATCAAATTTGAAATTAAATTTTAGATTTTATTTCAATCACTAATTAAAGTCAAGGGCCCACATACATTGAACCTAGACACACTCTCTCTCTCCTCATATGCCCCCCCCACCCCCCTCCTTGCCTTTTCTTTCTCTAATTTAATCCTTAACTCCAATTAAACTCCCCCATAAATCCCTCCTAAGCCGCCGGCCCCTATAGTCCTATTTTGGGATAATTTTGAGTTCAAATTATTCCCTTCCCTCCCTAGCTCAAAATCTAAGAACCCTCCTAACCCTAACACCCCCCTCACCTGCTCAAATCCTCTCTACCCGCCGGCCCCTCCCTCCCTTCCTCCTTCACAAACTGCCGACCCTTAAAGGATGCCAAGAGAGTAGTTTCCTGTATTCATGGATGGTTGATCTTGAAGTCGACCATGGTTCGCGTACGATTCTCAAGGGCAAATCGATATTCCTCAGTCGCCGTTCTTCGACCCCGACTGGGAGCTAAAAGATTCCGTCGACCATACTATTCCACCTAGCCGAGACTATCGATGAACAACGACCCTTCGGACAGTGGCAACTCGTTGGACATCCACCAGTGTCTCCTTCTCCAGCTACCTTCCCGTGGATCATAACCGTTGGCATCCTATCTCTCTTGGTGGCGTTGTTTGGATTGTTGAAAGTTTCTCTCCGCTAAAGCCTTTCTTAGAGTGTGAGTGAGAGTAAACTCTAGGTGAATATTCTAAATATTAACTCGTGGATTCTTATTACGGCATATTTAAGTTCTACTGTAATTTTTTTTATTTTATTTTAGTTGTTTTGCTCTCCTCCCTTGTAATTGCATGCCAAAACAAACTTTAACTGAAAATTCTTAAAGTTAATTCTTGTGGTTCATTAATCTTAAAGTATCAAGCTTTACATAATTTTATCAATTCCTTTTTTTTCTGTTTGTATCACATCAGAATGGCTGGAAGGAAGGAGGAAATCAATCAACCACCATCTGGAGGAAACCAGGATGTAGGAGCACTAAAGGACTTCTCTAGCCATTCTTCTAAACTCCAAAAACTGATTTACAAGGGTTAAGGAGCCTCTATTTATAAGCCCATGGCAAGAATAAGGCTGTGTTTGGGACGACGTCTCGGCAGCTTCACGGCTTAAAACGTGCACCTCTCGCTGTTTGGGACAGTGGGTTGGACCGGAGGCCTAAAATTTTTTACGTTGGCAGCCTATTTTTTGCGATACCTTGCGCGGTTTGCTTCTTTTCGCGGTTCTGATATGTTAAAAGTCGAAAGTAGCCTTCTCTTTTTAGCCGAACCCCCTCTTCCTCTTTGTCCCTCTGTTCGCACACCCCAGGAAGCCATCGTTTCTCCTCTCTCTCTCACGGCCGATGCAGACGGAAGCCCTGCCTTCGCCTCTCCTCCGTTCGAACCGAGCCAGGACGCCGCAGATCTCCCTCCTCCTGTCGATCCTGTCTCTCTTCTCCCTTCTCCTCTTTTTCCCCTTTCTTCTTCTTCTTCGTCTTCTTCTTCTTCTCCCTTATTCTCTCCTCTTCTGTTGTTAGGATCCCAAATTTTCTTGCTAGATGCCATAAATAGGAACAAATGGAAGTATGTCCTGAGGGAACGAGAGCATCTTCTTCATATTCAAAGAAAAAAGCTTCCAGGCCTGATCGCCATGGAGCTCTACTGCATCGCCACGGAGCCTTATTTCTCTGTATGAGGAGAGTGGACAGAATTTGAGAGTTTTTTAGCTCAAGGAGCTTAGGGCTGCAAGTAATGATTTAAACATGTTGTTAAAGATTGAAGAGGGAGGATTTGGTGGTGTTTACAAAGGTTTTATTAAGCCTGCATATGTCATGGGAGAAAAGATTACAATGGCTGTTAAGATGCTCAACCAGTATGGTTTTCCGGGACATAAGCAATGGCTTGTAGAAGTGCAGTTTTTTGGAGTTGTTGATCACCCAAATATTGTAAACTCAATGGATATTGTGCTGTTAATGGTCAAAGAGAGCCTTAAAGGTTGTTGGTCTAGGAAGTGCAAATGGCTTCGGGTGTGGCAGAGAGGTATAAATGAAGTAATAACAAACATTATTATAATTTTTTTTTATATTATTTTTGAAGTATGATTGAGATCGGGTATGCCGCGAGATGGTCCAGGAAGCTCTTCCTTCTCACCCCGTGCTCAAATCCCCTAATGTCCAAAAAAAAAGTATAATTGTACATTGTAAAAATAATTATACTATTTTGATATTTAAAAGTCATAAAATAATATATAAAGTGGATGCAATTTTAATTTAGAATTATTAGTTTATTATCACATAAGTTAAAAAAAAATGACATTTAATCAATTTCCTTTCATCTCAATATATATAAGGGTATAAATTTAATTTATTCACATATAACTGCAGCACTGCAGCTCGACAGTTATACTTTCCAAACAAAATATATTGTTTTATATACATCTTCAGAACTCAACTTTCAGTACAACAATTACACAACCTACTTTACCGACAGCTGCAGCCGTCCCAAACGAATCCTAAATGAACAAGTAAAAAAATAAAATAAAAAAAAACCAAAATAAAAGAAAGGTGGGGGAGGACTGGTTGGCTATTAAAACGGTCCAAGCCCCTGCTTCATTCTCCCTGGCTTGGAGAGGTTTCGTCATGATCAAAAGCCGATACTTTTTCATAATGAGAAGTTAAGTATGAAATGTTGAAGGTAGTAGAAATTTGATAATTGCCATATAGTTTAGTTGATAAACATTATTGTTGATGCACTTTTATTTATTATTTTTGTTGATGTGCTTGATAATGCGAAAATGTCAATCGGCTTTAGGTTCTAAATTGCTATAAGGTTTAGGTGCAAACCATTCCTTTCGCATCTTAATCTAAACTAAATCATCCACTTTGAAAGTTTGATGTTTTCTATTTTTGTTGGCTTATGCTTGATATTTGATATTCGATATTCTGTTTCTTTATGTGATCTTGAACTTGTTCATGAAGTTTTTTTATTTATTGAATTCATTAATCAACATCGGAGTGGCAATCTATGAGTGCGACATAAGACATTAAATCAATAGGAGATATCGGATTTCGACCATACACAATTTCAAAGGTTCTCCTCGCTGGATTTTTTTGCCATGCAACTCAATTTTCTTCTTTCCTTTAAGAAATCTTTGAATTAATCACAAAATCTTTTGATAGTTTTTTTTCCATTCAATTAATATGTTAAATGAATGATTTGCAACTGTCTCTTTAGGTTTAGATTGCATCCCTCACTTCCAATAGAACCCAAGATCAAGGGTATGTGGCTATTATTGTTGTTGTTCATAAAGAGGGAAATTTTTGTTTTGTTCACAAGGAAATACTGAAAAGGAAAGAAATATGACAATGCAGTGCTGAAGGATGCCTCCATGGGAAAAAACTAGTAACAATGCAACAATGAAGACTACAATAATAAAAAAGCATAAGACAATGCAGCGATGAAGATTGCAGTTATAGAAAAATTGGAAAAAAAAAAGAAGAGAGCGCAATATTTAAGGCAGCAGGATTGTGGTAATGCCATGATGAAATCTGTTGTAATGGAAATAAAATGAAGAAACAATCCTAGAGATTTGCTATCATGGCAAAAATTTGAGAGGATTGGTTGAGTATTTTATTACAAACATTTCTGTAGTATTTATGCGTTCATAGGAGAACTTCTAGTAGGAAGCATACAAAATCTGAAAATAATAAATACATAATATTTAAAATAATTCATAGGCTGATGAATCGATAGAATAATAATTTTAGAATAATTACAGTAGTGCGCATATTGTTGATCAGACAGTAAAGATCCAATGGATCACTATGGTGGCAGTGAAAGAGGAAGGAAAAAAGGAAGAAGTCTTGTGTGGGGATCCCTGTTGAGGGGAATTATGTAGATGTTTATAGTTAACGTCATGGTTAAACTTTATAACATAACTGAAAATACTATCCGGTTTGTTTTTTATTCTTGAATATTGCACTCTCGAATTAGCTACTGTCAATTCATCTCTAAATTCTGGCTCTCTATGTGGTCTCTAACAATTTACTTTATACAAAGAAGCTCTTATTGATGTTTTAGATTAAGAAAAGGAGCTCCTTGCCTTTTGCAAAAGTTAAGAGAAGATCAAATGTGATGGAAAGCCAGAATGAATCTGATTTTATTGATGATGAGGCAGCTTTGATGCAGGTATATGTTTGGCAATATGATGTTTGCTGATGTTTCTTTCTTTTGTTCCGTATCAGTGTTTGAAACTTGGTCTTGCAGGCTATTGCTCTCTCTGTTGTTCCGTATCAGTGTTTGAAACTTCTCTTGCAGGCCATTGCTCTCTCAGTTGGAGCAACTTCAGGTGACTCAGCTGGAACATCAGTGGGTGTTTCTCAAGATTCTGCTATAAATACAGCCGGGGAGGATGCCCAGGGGAAAAAATATAAGGCAAAGGCACAAGAATCCGCCAGAAGAAAGAAACCTAGAAAATTGGTTTGTAATCATTCACTTTATTAAATTAGTAATAATGATTGTATTCCAAGCACATAATCTAGAAGATTTTAATTTCTAAAAATAACAATTTAGGGGGGAATTCATCTAAGATCCTTAAGTTGACTTTTATTTATTTTCTAACCGTTTGATTTATAAATTTATGGTTTAGGGAACAGATCGGTTGACCTTATTGATGCACGTGATGCTTTGGCTATAATCTCACATCAGATAGTCTATCTCTTTCTTTAATCCTTCAAAGCATTTGATTAATCATTGATCGAGGATAATGTTGAACCTTGAAAACTGTTTTTTCAACAAACTTAATCAGTCTCCTGATGCAATTGTACGATTGACCTTTGAAATAGCTTCAGAATTACATTTAATAGTTCTTATCCCATCTTATCTTAATTAAGGGTAAAGTAGTTGGAAATGGCATGTGTTTGATTTTATGGTCCGGGTTATATATGAAATATTAATGTTTATTGTTTTGATGGGAAGTTTCTAACCACTTTGAATAATGATATAGACTGTAGATGGTACAGAATTATACGCATAGCCTTAGATGTCCTTGTTTTTGATATTTAGTGTGTTCTCTGTTTCACAGAACAAGGCTCCCGTTCAATTAACTGAGGATGAAGTGACTGCTTATTTCTTCTCATTTGACGGTATTGTTTAGACTGTTAACTTCTATCTTTTCTGCAAATATATTCCTTATGTATGCTTTGAATACTTGGATGTTTTAATTGCATGGCTTCACCTCTCGTCTTTATTGATGTGTTAATGTATGAAAGGAAAATAAAATACTGGAAGATATGAACATGATGCGATGATTGGAAATTAACTGCTAGAAGTGATGCTTAATTCCTTAAAAAGAGTGGAAATCATCTTGGATGCCAGTGGATCATTGCGGCAACATGTGTTGCTGAAGGGAGTGAGCAAAGAAGATGAAATGATGTAATTGAATAATTTCAATGATTAGGTTGCTTCCCTTGTTACCTTAAGGTGACATGTTTGAATTAAAAAAAATGAAAATATCTACAATTTGATGCAAACATCCCTTCTCAAACTTTGCATTAATGAAAGCCTCATAAACTGGTTTATTGCCTTTATTAATTAGGACTAGAAGCAATGGGTTCTGCAATTTACTTGTCCAGAATTTTGTGATTTTCAGTCCTTTTTAAGTCATAGAACCAAGAACCCATGGAGGTTGGGCGCAAAGAGAACTTATTTTGCTTCCACTCTTATGGTTACCAGCTTACCACTCTTTCGTTAGATTTGGGTCAAGATTCTGATTACTGCCTCATCAACTGGGCTTTAACCTCATTTTATGCTTATAAATATAAAATTCTCCCTTCTTTGAACCATTGTGAAGATAATAAAATTTAAATCAAAATTGTCTTCACTTTAACTTCTTGCTAGTAGCATCTCTACTAGATTCTCTAAAAACTTCAATGTTATTTAATATTCATTCAAACTATATATATATATATATATAACATCGTGTGAATTGTGCAGAAACTGGTAAAGGTTACATTACCACAAGGGACGTGAAGAAAATGGTCACTGCTCATGATTTTAGTTGGACAGATATTGAGATTGCTCATATGATTCATTCCTTTGACAGTGATGGAGATGGAAAGGTCAGTTATCTATTTATCTGTCTTTTGCCGCTTTCTTGGGATTTTGCGTTTATAAAAGGCATGGATTCAGGCTTGGATCTGTGTGACCTGCAAGATTTTAGAGTTACCTACAACTCAATAATCAATCATCAAAAGCATACCACTAATCTAGATTACGTAGAAAGGGTGTTTTCACTAATCAAAAAAGAAAGAAAGAAAATTTTATAAGCTTCTATTCATGTGATAATTGATATTAGAGTGGTGGTTAGAGAATTTGATTGCTGTTAGAAATACAATGTGAGATGGGGTTTCTTGCCTTGAAGCTTTGGCGGGAGCTCCTTCTTCCGAAGATGGTAGTAGCCTTGAGGAAGGTTTGCTTGAGTTGCAACAAGTCAACAACGTGTAGAGGCATTTTGTCAAATCATTGTGGATGAAGCAACATTATTGGTTTATTGACATGATGACTTGTCAATGGAACTTATTGTCTTGCAGAGAGCATAGATGCAGCCACAACATGATAGCATTTTGCTTAGAGAAGGTGAAAAGTACTTGAACCAAAACCTGGTGAAGAAAGAATTGCAAGGGATTTAAAAAAAATTATGGGATTTGAAACAGTTCTTGGTTGTTTTCATGTTGCCAGAAAGCATTGGGTGACGATTACTAGCATGTATCTTGTGGGAAATGCAAAACTTTGATGGTAAACCAGAGTTTTGAATGATCGTTCTGAGAAGAGAGCCACCTTATTTTTCTTCGGGAGACTTTGAAGGAAGAAATGTTGAGGGAATCTCTTCCTAACAAATAAATCGGTGCAATGCAAAACTACATTAATGAGTTCAGTTGCTTGATGTTGAAATATTTAAAATATGACAGGAACATAAGCTTTTTTTTTTTGAGATTGAAATCATGGGTAGAAGTGGTGATATAATGTATAAATGTTGTTGCTACAATTACTATTGTGGAGATATTGGTGGATTTCAAGGAGGCTGAGTGTCTTTTAACAAGAACTAGTTCAAGCAAAAGGATTGGGTCAAAGTAGTTGTCAAATAAAGGGTACAAGCAACGCGAGGGTTATCAACATAAGGCTTTGATGATGTAAAATTACAAAATAAAGCTGCGTAAGTGAATGCTCAAGGGTGCTTTATCTATAATGGGCCTCATTGAGCTCATGATTGCCTAAAGAGATAAGTTGAACAACGTACTGAACGTAGTGCTTCAGACTTTTAACTATGGGGAGGCAGCGTAAGAATACGTGACATTAGTAAGTCCGTTACGACTTTGGTGCACTTAATATAGTAATGCTGCTCCTCAGTTGATGTATGATAATATTTCTATCTAGAACATTGTTGTTGTTTCAATTAGAAAGATTCCCAGCAAAGCGAGGTCTTTGAACTCAAAGGCACAGTTTGTTGTTGGCATGTCTTGAAATGTGCATTTTTGTGTTGGTGCTTGGACGGGAAAGATAACTTGATGATGGTTCCTTTAGATGATTTTGAGGTCGTATTAGAAATCAACATGTTCAAAGTGGCGACAGATTCATTAATGCCTCAACCAAATTATATTTTGATCTAACAATAATCAAATCCTTGCTTTGTGACTTGTTCAAGTACTTCTACATCACATGCAAAACAAGTTGATGGTGCCAAAATTGCCTTTCCAATTGCCGTTGAAATAAGTTAATTCATGTGGCGCATACTTATCTTTTGCCTTGCTTGAAGTGAAGCCTGATGTGAAGTTATCACTTCTTAATAAGTTGATGTCAATGCTTATGGGCTTCAAAATTTATGCCTCTGCCTCTATTATGAGAGTTTTAGGATGTTTCTGAATCAAATTTTCAGAAGATATATTATATTTAAAGATATGACATTACTCAAATATTTCACTTTCATATTGTGAGGACTTTATGATCTAGTTTTAGTTTTCTCATAGCCGTAAACTCATATCATTAATTACCCCTCTCGATGATGATAGCGAATTTTTAGTTAAGACAAATCATTAGAAGCTAATCACTTATCGTATAGTAGCAACAACCTATAATTATATTGTCCTAGGTTGTGTGGTCCCTAGTCTACTTAGTTAGAGGAGAGAGAGAATCTAATTTGACCGAAGGATCTTTGTCAAAAGTCTCAACTTATTTCATTTAAGTGAATTTCGTAGGCTTAGGGTGGATGTTAGTCCAATGGGATGAATTTAAGTCGACCTTAACTATTAGGTGTTGTGTGCTCTATCAAGTGTACTATGAGATTTTAGCCATTGGAGAATTGGGCTCTGACCATGAGTGTAATTTAATAGTATCATTTTACAACGAAATTACCCAGTTAGAGGGCCTCAATCATATCCTTTTACTTATGGTGTTATTTGGTGGCAAAACGACTGGTTAGAGAATAACAATCATATATGTAATGGTGACAAATCATTTGAGAACAAGTTGCGGTGTTACGCTTGACATAATATTTATTTTTTTAGAGCTGAGGTTGTTTTTAAATTTGTCTCCATCGATAAATATTTATAGAGGGTGGAAGGATTTGCTTTATAGATTTCACTTGAAAATTATTCTTTTATTGGATTTTTATATTTTTGTAGAAACTTGAATCTCGCAATAATTTTTTTGGAAATTTGGGGGCTTTTTTATGGATACAATCTCCTCCAGTTGAGATTCACTGTTTGCACATGCATCATTGGGGTGTTAAAATATTTTATCTAGTCAAAGGAATAAACAGGAACTAATTGATGAAGCACTTGATAGCCTTCCAAAAGTGGCATGAAGAAGTATGCTGACAATTGATAAAGGCGTCGGAGTTCAATGTTGACTATTGAAATTGTCTTGTAATATTTAGAAGAATATTTTAAACAAAGTTGTACGTTGCGGATTGGTTCAAAAATAAAATGGTTCCTTCACAGTTGTTAGAAAGGTATGGTATGTTGCCGATTAGCTACAACTTCCTGTCGAGTCATGGTATAACTTTTATTTCATCTTAACTACTTGAAATAATACTATGAAGATGCAAAAATGTAGGAAGTAATGCTAGGAAAAGAGCTTTTCTTATAATGCCAAAATAATCTGACACAGGAATGGAAAAGATCCTCGAACCTCAGATTAAGATAGAGCAAGAAAAGTAGAAGCGAATTTGTTAGACTGGTCCAACCAACCTTGGCAAAAGGGCCGACACTTTGAACATGTTGATAGCTCTCGAAAGTGTCAGAAAGGTCGACGGTCCAGGAGAAGGGCTCAGACATTTGATTGAACGGTCTGTCATCGTCTTTAATCATCGCCTCCGCCTCTTCATAAGTCGCTGGCATCCTTATTCATTGTGCCACAATTTTTTTCGGGTCAAAATTGGGTTTCTGGGTTGACCCGTACTCGAACCTGAATTTGAAACGGGTAAAAAATTGGTACATGAACCCGTGCCGTTCTTAAAATGGGTTTACCCTAACCCAAAAAATTTGGGTCGGGTTTGGGTCGAGTTTTCGGTTCGTATCAATTTTTGACAATCTCTAGGTCCACCTATGGTTGTACCGTCCCCCCTTGAGGGCCCCACTAGGTGAGTCTGATTAGGAAGGATGGGTGGTTTAAGGAAGGAATTAAGTAGGTGTGGGCTATTTAGTAATTTTCTCTGTTTTCTTGTATGCTTTAATTAGAAGAGTTGGGATTAGGGTTAGGGTTATCTATGTATTGTTGAATTTTCTGTTAGAGGCTTTTGCTTCTTGGGCTCGTGCGGCGTCTAGAGATTTGGGAGAGGTCGATACTTCTCTCGAATTGAGGATCAATTTTCTCTTTTTATTTTCTTTTCGTTTCATCCGTTAGTATGAGTTTTCTCGCTGTTTTGCTTGATTTGTTTGGAGTATCTTGGTGGAAGATCACTGAAATCTCTCTATTGGTAAGAAACACCGATGTTTTTGGGTTGTTTCCTATCAAATTGGTATCAGAGTTGTTTCTGGAATGTTGTTGGGCTTTTCTGGTACTTTCATGCAATTTATGTTTCAAACCACTATTTTTGTAATTTTTAGAGTCAAAATCTAAATTTTTGAGTCTAACAATGATCCAAGTATCGCTGGTGGCCAAGGTGGAAACTTTGGAAGAACGTCTTGAGGGAGAGGTGTGTCAAATCAAGGAGATGGTGGAGGATACAATTTCCTACATGGAAGGCACATTCTCGGATCTCCAAGATATGGTGAAGTAGATATGAGATCTTCAAAACCAAATGATGGCATCAGAGGCAAGAGTGCCAATGGGAATAATTACAGATTCTGAAATTCATAGGGATGAAAATGATATGAAGATCGTAGAGGGAGAAGGGAAAAGACCCTATATGGAATCTTTCGAGAGGGAGGAGAGGTGAAATGTATGGGGAGAGGCGTGGATATGTGGGGTATGAGTTAAGGGGTGCTGATTGGTAAAGAAGGGTTGGAGATTATGGCTGGAGGGGTGCTGATTTTGAAGGAATGAGGGGGTGATCGAAGAAGGGTTTGTGTATGAGTGTGGAAGGGAGGATCTTGATACTTGGGGGGAATCACCCACTTGGGGAAGGGGAAACTTTGAAGGAATTAGTGGAAATGGAGGGGATCCGAAGGTATGGAAGCTGAAGATGCCAATCTTTGAGGGAGAGGATGCACACGGATAGTAAGGTGGAGAGATTTTACCATCAGTGGGCTGATGGATGAGGAGAGATTATTGGAACGTTTTCGAACCATAAAGGGAGGAGATTTCTATGAGCAATTCTTTGCCCTGATATAGAAAGGCTCGATGGCAAAATACCCCGAGAGATTTGAGTATCAGGCAAGTCGACTGGACCGACTGTCTGAGACTGTTCTGGAGGGAAATTTTATGAAGGGGCTCAAATCAGAGATCCAGGCAATAGTGAGAGTCATGAGGCCTCGTGACTTGGGAGAGGCTATGGAGATCAGAAGTACTAGGAGAGGGGAGCTAGAAACAGCAATTAGGTGGCACATACAGGATGACTACCACTTTCTTAGCACCCAACGTGCTTACACTGGGCAATCTTCGTGAGACACCAAGGGAGAAGCCTGTAGGAAGAGGAAGTGGGGGAAACTTTAAAAAGCTGAGTAAGAGAGATGCACGAAATGAGGACGAAGAGATTATGCTTATGATGTGATGAGAAGGATACTCACAAGTGTAGGGACCAAACTCTTCAGGTTCTCACCGTTTGTGATGACGAGGAAGTTGAGTCTGATGGTGGGAGTGAGACATGGGTAGAGGAGGACAAGCTGCATCTAGATGCATGGTTTAAAATTGCACAATAAGAGGCGAGCCTCAGCGCAATTTCATTCTTTTAAGCCTCAAAGCCTACGCAATGAGAGAAGGAAATGAGGCTTACGCCTCAAGTTTACTGAGGCGCGCCTCACCTCAGATTTTAGAGGCGTCCGTCTCAGGTTTTTGAGGCGTCCGCCTCTTAATGATTATTTAAATGAAGACCCCCTTGGTGATGACAATGCTGATAATTTATGAGTTCTTATATGATATGCCATTGCTATTTATTTTTGGAATTATATGTTAATGAAAAGAATAATGTGATTTGGGAAAGATAGAATCTTGTGTTGAACTATATTTCATGTTGTATTATTATTGAGATATTTTGATTTCACTTCATATCTTGTGTTTTTTATATTTCATATTATTTACTCATTAGTATATAAAAAATTTATCATTTTATATTTATGCAATCTTTTGATTTTGAGACTTACGCCTCAAAACACCTTGAGACTTACACCTTGCCTCATGAACGAAAAATGCCTCAATACCCGTTTACGCAATTTTAAACATTGTCTAGATATAGTAGATGTCTCCCTGAACTCAGTGGTAGGATTCACTCCGAGTCATACCATGAATGTGAAGGGGGAAATAGCAGATCAGGAGGTGGTAGTGTTGATTAACAGTGTGGCTACTTACAATTTTATCTCCAACCAGGTCGTGGACTAATTGGGGGTGACATTGGTGAATACAAGGTGCTATGGAGTGATAATGGGTATGGGGAAGGTGGAGATGGCCAAGGGTATCTGTAGGGGAGTACTATTGACCATATAGGGGGTTTAGGTGTGGGAGGATTTTCTCCCATTGGAGTTAGGAAGCACTGATGTCATACTGGGAATAAAGTGGTTGTAGACCTTGGAAAATACCAAGGTCAACTGGGGGGCACGGACCATGGAGCTGGTCGTGGAGAGGAGAAGAATAGTGATCAGGGGAGATGCGGGGTTATCCAAAGCCATGGTGTCCCTCAAAATCATGGTAAGGAGCATATAGGTGGTGGGGTGAGGTTTCTTGGTAGAGCTACAAAGATTAGAGGGGATTGGATAGGAGGAGAAGGGAGGCATTCCTCTTTCAATATAGCCACTGATACAGTAATTCAGTGAGGTCTTTTAGCCACCTCAAGGATTGCCACCACTAAGGGAGCAGGAGTATGCCATCACCATGAGGGAAGGGGTGTCACTCATCAGTGTTAGGCCATAACATTACCCTCAATTTCTAAATAATGAAATTGAAAAATTGATCAGAGAAATGCTGGAGGCAGGAATTATTAGGCCTAATGGAAGCCCTTTTTTTAGCACAGTCTTACTGGTTAAGAAAAAAGATAGGAGTTTGAGGTTCTACGTGGACTATAGGGCTTTGAATAAGGAGATTATGCCAGACAAGTTTTCCATCCCAGTGATAGATGAGTTATTGGATGAGCTAAGTGGGGCAATTATCTTTACCAAGATAGATCTAAAGTCTGGATACCTCATAATAGGGTGTTCTGACCCTTTCTTAGGAGATTTGTACTGGTTTTCTTTGACGATATCCTAGTGTACAACATATCAGATGAGGAATATTGGGAGCATTCGAGGACGATTTTAGAGGTGTTACAGGAGCAGCAACTGAGGGCTAATATGGAGTACTTAGGACATGTAGTATCTCAGAAGGGTGTGATCGTTGATTAGGCTAAGATTGAGGCAATGCTGAGATGGCCGCTATCAAAGAATTTGGGGAGTTGAGGGGTTTTCTACGGCTGAAAGGATACTACAGGAGGTTCGTGAGGGGTTATAGCACAATCGCCTAGCCACTGACAGAACAGTTGAAGAAATATAGCTTCTGGTGGGGGGAGGCGGTCACAAAAGCTTTTGAGAGATTGAAGAAGGGCATGACCACTATACCGATGTTCTACTAGTGTTTCCTATCAGAATTCTAGTCAAGTGGAAGGGTATTGAGGACTATGATAAAACATCAGAGGAGGATATTACATTTTAACTCTATTCGAAGAACAAATCAGTGACTACCCTTCATCAATCAAATGAGGCATCAGAAGACATGGCGTAGTGCCACATGCAAAGATGATGCCATTGGTGGGACCAATTCAATATGTTGACCCGATCAAGCCATTTCAAATGCATGTACAAATGATATGCACAATTACTAAACTACGTGCCGGTTGCAGAGAATTGTACACAGGCAGGGGATACGCAAATGTTGGTGCTGCAAACATGTCTTGCATAGGATAAACTATCCGTTTAACAAATTATGGGAAAGCTGAGTCTAGAGTTGTCTATATTTGAGTAGCAGGGGTGATTTTCACTAAATAAATTAAAATTTAGGCTTCATTTGGGACGACTTTCTTGTTGCTTCTTAAAACAACTTTCTAGTATAAAAATTTTAATTTTTGTACTAAAAAGCTGCTTTAAGAAGAAACGAAAAAGCCGTCCCAATCGAAACCTTAGTGAACATCTAATCCGGTTGCTTTAGTTAGGCATTTTGTGAACAGCTTTCAGCATTTTTAACTAAACAGGTCTATAGGTAGCATTTACTTGAATTCGGGACAATAGATTAATCCAGATTTATTTTCATAAAGAAATTATTGTCTATGCTTTCTAATTTGTTATCAAATTCTTGGTACTTGCAGTTGAGTCTAGAAGATTTCCGGTCCATCGTATCCAGATGTAAAATGATACAAGCGACTGAAAAAACATGAAATGCTGTATTCTAGGTATGAACACTAGCAGAATTTTAGTGATTAGAAATATCTATGATTTTGATCAGAACTGAAACTATATGTATACCTGATATGATGTGAAATAAAATTTCCATTAACCTCACAAGAACATTTTACAGTGGTTCTTTCCCCCCCCCCTCAGATGCATAAAAAATGCTAATATTGACATAACACACTGTTTTCCGGGAAAAATTATTCTGTGCAAATTCCTTACAGCGTCCGGAAACCAATCAAAATACACCACGTCACTCGGTACCGAGCATGCCATGTCACATTTTTGCTCTGTACCGAATGACGTGACGCATTTGGGTTGATCTCCGGACCGCCCGGTGTCCGCACAGAATAATTTTTCATTTCCCATACTCTTAAACCTTATATGATACCTCTCCACATCCTTTAATTTTCTTGCAAATCCTTTATCTCTTTATTGAAGGATTTGTGCATCATAATCATTTCTTATTTATTTATTAAAATTGCTCGTATTTTTTTTAATAACCTGTTTAATTTTATTTCAAGGAGCACTGCAAAATAGAACTGCAATGCAGCTGTACCTCAACATCTTAACATCTTTCTTAGAATTCAAATTTCAAACATTTATGGTATGAAATTTTCTGAAACATTCTGATTCCTATTTCTATTCTAATATGTTTGATGCTATTCTAATTTGTACCAACAGCTTGGATGAAAACTTCACATTTTGTGCATTTTGAATTCGAGATTAAGGCTTCGTTTGGGACAGTTTTTTAATTGCTTTTTAAAGCAGCTTTGTAATATAAAATCTATTTTAAAAAGCAGTAAAAAAAAGCTGTCCCAAATAAAATCTAGGCATTTATAAGCTGATAGGCAATTAAGTTTGCTTAGCATGTTGAAAGAGGTAGTTAATGCTTATTTATTTATTGCACATAATAATTGCTTACCAATTCTTATCTCATATGATTGAAGGTGTAATTAAAAATTTTAAACTAAATTTGATTTGAATTTCATCAATATCAAATGTATATAAATGATAATAAAAATCTATCCTAATAAATTGTCATAATTTCCATTACACAATCACAAATTATATGGACTTACTCCATTTGTATTCTTTATAACTTTAATAATATTTAATATTCAATTGAGCAGATCTAAAGCTATGTCATTTCATATCAAATTAGCCCAATTCAAAATTAAAACAATTTTTAAATCAAATCTAAGTGGAGCCCCAATATATTAATTTTGTATTATATTCATGTTCATTCTCAAAATATATCAAGTAGCATTTACAATTTAAGATGAATAAGGAATTATTAGATTTATTTTAATATAAATGTATTTTTTAAATAATTTATATTAAAATAATTTTAAAATAATTATAATTTTATATAAATTTATCACAATATTCTAATTTAATTTTTTTTTGGGTGGGGGGAATAAAAATTATTCATTTAAGTTATCACGTACAATTTGGAGCATGTGGACAAAATCGTGTCATATCAAAGCAAGCGAAGATTGCTTAGCTGGTTCCAATAAGCACCCGCAAACTCAACGCCACGTGTAAAATCCCACCGAGCAATTGTTTGTTCCCTCTAGATTCGTGCAATGCATACGTGGCAACACGTGGGCATTCTGTCAAGTCATTCCTACCACACGACTTAGCCGCTCCAAGTTCGAGTCGCCAGCCGGGTGCCAGTTGTAATTGACACGTGCGAACGCAAGAGCGGCCGCAGATATGCGTCCGAACCAATCTCGCATAAAACAAGGAGAGATGATGTACTTTTGAAGAAATTCACACGTGTTTCAACAAATATTTACTTATTTATTTTAATCAGTTAAAGTCAAATTCTTACCCAATTCATTTAAATATATATTTTAGGGAGAAATATAATGTTGTGAACAATCAAAGTCCATAAAATGTTTCTCGTCGTTAATTATTTATAGAGTTATGAGGGCTACAAGAAAAACTATATAGGAAAAAAAATAAAAAACATAATGTTACAGGCCATCCCAGACACATGTCTCCTAATTAATGGCTTAAGGTGAGCGAAGTCGGAGTACTTTGATGAGTTGCTTTCAAGCAGGCTGACTAGTGTCGAGTGGATGAGGGTGAGTGTGCTCGGGCGAGTTTGAGGGTGAGTATTGAGATGAAAAGGAACCAATGGCTATCATGCTTGCTGACTTTTCAGACAACTTATATCGAGATCTTATGTCACCTGAGAAGGTAGAGGCATGTGAGATGTCGCTGGAATGAAAAACTATGAGTTTGATGGTCACAACGAGGTAGGTCGAGGGTCTCGTGAGTAAGGCACTTTCTTGTAGCCGAGTTTAATGAGGATGGTTTCTTTGGGAGAGAGCGAGGGTCTGATCTCACTTTGAGGAAGAGCAAGTGACTGTCGTTATGATTTAGATATGTGGCAATTTGCTAGGATAAGTGCTACATAATGCGTAAGAAAATTGAAGATCCCACTATTGCCGACAACTTACATTATTCATCCCACAGAGAGTGAGTTTCATGATAGGTTCGAGTGAGTAGTGCCTATTAATCATCATGGGTGAGTTCCTTGTTGAGTGTGGATTAATAATATTTTAATTTCAATATAAGTAAATTAATTTATAAAAAGTAATCCTATCCTGTCTCTTATATTTTAGCTAACCAAATAGTTAAAAGTTGACCTATCATCATTAGGTGAACCATTCAAAAATTTATTAAGAAAAATATGGTATTCTTATTTTTATTAATTCATCTATAAACAATAATTTTATATATAAATTTTTTATAGAAGTAGTCTACAAAAATATTTCTCTACCTAAGACATTAATCCAATAAAATAATATTTAAACTAATATTGTATATATATATTTTTATGTTGATTTGAATTTTTATTTGACAAAATAAAACAAAAATGTGGCAAAATGGTAAAAACTATAATCATTATCTAAACATTTGCTTGCATAGAATATCAAAGTATGTACATTGTTCTTTTTTTCCAAGTATTTTTCATGTACATCTAATTGAAAAGAAAATACAGGAAAAAAAATAACAATGCTGGCACGTGCGGTCACCCACGTGACACTGAATCCCACAGCTCGCCGCACCGCCGCCGGGCAAACCCGATCCTTCCCATCTCCAAATCATAAACCACTTCTATCCCCTGCTGCTGGAAATTCCCAAGCGTCGCCGCCGGCCCGCCGCCGCTGTCGTCTCCTCCTTCATCCTCCTCCCCCTTCGCTTCATCTCCACCACTGATCACCATAAAGCATCCCACACGCTCCCCCTCGCTCTCAAATCCCAAAAAGTAGTTCCTCGTCGGCAGCCACAAACTGGCGTTTCCAGCGAAGTGGAGTCCCATCGCCGGCACTCGCTGGCTCTCATTCCTCCCATTTCCGTACTCGTAACAAGGTCCGAGCCCCGTCCTCTCCTCTGCGCCGGTTGCTCGGATGAATTCGCGCCTCCCCATCTGCAGCTGGAACTCAGCAGCTAACTGGCGGTGCATCTCGCCGGGAAGCATCGTGAAAGTGGTGCCGGAATCCACCACCATGCCTCTAGAGATAAGCTGAGAACTTGCCGGAATGGTAACCCGGCCGACGGAGATGGAGAGAAGCGAAACAGAGTAGAAAAAAGGGTTTTTGTGGATGTGAAGTAGGGGAGTGTAGGTGAAGGAAATGGTTGAGGAGCGGCCCAGGATGAGAGGGCTGGGGCGTAGGAGGCGATTAGGGAGGAAGGAGTGGTAGATAAGGCAATAGGAGAAGCGGGAGGCGAGGAAAGGCGAGAGCTTGGCGAGCTGGGAAGGCAGAGAGAGAGGTCCGCGGCCGAAACCGGCGACGCCGAGAGGTTCGGCGAGGGCGGAGTGGGCGCAGGCGAAGGTGAAGTTGGAGAGGGAAAGAGAGGAAATGAGGGAGAGATGGCCGCGTCGGAGAGAGGCAAGGAGGCTTCCGTCGCCGTAAGCGTAGTAGAGGAGGGGGCAGGGATGGGAGGAAGGAGAGCATGAGGACGTTTCAATGGCGTCGAGCGGACAGAGCGCGGCGGCGCAGAGGTCGGAAATGGGTAGCGAAGAGTGGGCTGCAGAGCAGAGAAGGGAGGAGCAGGGGACAGGGTGGGAGGAGGGAGGGGGAGGAAGCGGTAGGGAGTAAAGGGGCTTGTTTTCGCAGAGGATGCATTGAAAGGGGGAGCAGGGGAACCATAACAGGTCGCTGCCGGTGTCGAGGTAGAGGGATACAGTGGTGGAAGAGATGGAAAGGGAGAGAGTGTAATCCGCACCGGAAGCGAGGGGGAGGGGAAGCTGCCGCCTCCTCCGGCGACTGGAATGGAAGCGTTCGGCCGAGCGGAGGGAGGAGAATTTGAGGAGGTAGGATTGGGAGGGAAAGGAGGAGGAGGAGGAGGAGGAGAGTGAGAGTGAGAGTGCGTGCGTGAGGGGGAGGAGGAGAGGCTTGTTTGGGGAGGATGAAACAGAATATAGGCATAGAGATTGGAAGAAGCATAGCAGGAAGAGAAGGAGAGACGAGGAGGTGAATGCCATTATTTGATTCATGGAAGCAGGACGTGCGAGCAGAAGAAAAGAGCCTCAGGCAGGGTTTATGAAGGGGTTTTGGGCGATGAAGATTCTTATGTTTGGTGTCTATTGGTTTGGATTTATCAGAGCTTTTAATGATTGAATTTGATGAAGAATTTGAAAGAAAACGGAAATAAAAAAAAGACCCGACATTAATGGTGTAAATGAGTCAATTCTGATTGAATTTGATTCACCTAAGATTTAAGATTTTAGGTTGTTGTTTGACTAAGGAAAGTTATTGAATAATATATACATATAGTTATATACTTTTAAAATTGATTTAAAAATACTTTTGAGCTTAGAGTAGAGGTGCAAATGAGCAGATCTGGTTTGAGCTCGAGTTTGATCTAGATTAAGCTCAGTTTGATTACTCGTCAAGTAGCTTGAGTGTAGAAGAGGGGGCGGGCTCGAAGATGTGCTCGAACACCGAAGGTGGAACCGCGGGGGAGGGCTTCAAGGCTGACCGTAGATGTAAAATCGGTATGCTCACGAGCTGGCTCGCCAGCTGAGCTAAAGGTCGAGATTTGGCTCGCGAGTAGAGCTTTAGTTAGACATGACTCAAACTCGTCTCAGCTCGTTTGCACACCTAGCATAGAGTGCTAAAACTAAAAAATCACTCGAGACAAAATCAAGACAATTATGAGAGTTAAAATCCAAATAAATTGTAAAGTATATATATATTATTGTGATGCATATTATTTTACATAAAATATTCCCCGTAAATATTCCATACACATAAATACAAAATAGTATACAATAATATATATAAGCCAAACTATATTGATCAAAATTTTTTTGAAAGTTTTGGTTGTATTGAACTTTGTTGCATCCACTACACGTCATCGCATATCTGGCAGTGAAGAGAATGGTGCAATGTTCGGCAGAAATTAAAAAAAAAAAAAATTATGTAAGATTAATTTGAGTCGAATAATTAAATTCTGAGTTATATTATTAGCTAATTTTAGTCAATTAAAGTTTATTAAATTTATAAAATATTTTTAAATTATTACCTTTAATTTTTTATTTATAGAAAATATATTATAAGACAAATTAAATATAAATATTAATTAGCTATATGTGGCGGCTAGTTCTCGAACACTTGAGTTCATTTTTTTTAATAATGATCAATTAATTAATTATAATATTTATGATTTAAATTCTTGATACAATAACAATATTAAATTTTTATTACACTATGTGCATTGGGTTATATAATTCAGGTTAGATCTAATCTATATTTCTTAATATATATAGATCACATATAATACATTAACTATCTTTTTTTTTTTTTTTTTTTTCAAAAAGGGGTGTGACACGAGGAATTCCAAGGACGTCACCCATCCTAGTACTACTCTCGCCTAAGCGCACTTAATTGCAGAGTTCTAGTGGGATCCGATGCACTAGTGCTGGTATGGTCGCGTTCACATCAACTCTCTTAATAGAGTCATCAGAAGGTCGATATTTTATGTGACCAAATCTTCTAAGACGACTCTATCTAATCTTATTTGTCGGAGGAGCTACTCCAATCTCATGAATGAAAGTAAAAAAGGCTAGATTGCTTGTCTTTTGAGAGAGAGAGAGAGCGCACCCATAGCTTTAAAGATTTCAATAGAAATTTAAAGATTTGAATGGATTTGTACTTAGTATTGTTGAAAGGCAATGGCTACATTTAATGAATAGATGGATATTGAGAGAGAGAGAGAGAGAGCATGTCCTTGTCAATAAAATATTTAATTTAAAGTTACTATTTGAGGGAGGTAAAGACTTTGTTTGAGGACTTTTTTTTGCTGATTTTTAAAATAATCTTTTACCACAAAAAATTATAATTAAATAAATTTTTTATTACAAAGTTAATTTAGAAAACAATAAAAAACTGTCCCAAAATAACCTAAAATATCATTGTCACTCAAAGTTTCAGAATTAAGGGATTTATAGGACCACTCTTACAAACTTTAAAATTTGCATAGTTTTGTCATTATTTTTATATTTGATACGTACTCCAAAAATTATCTTGATCGGGCACGAATCTCGAGGCAAAAGCTAGTTGGAAACTTCAAAAATTAATCTTGGGAGCATTCAAACTCCGATTTCAGCGAGCTTACAGTCAAACTGAGTGTCTCGGAAATACGAACCCAACGACACCAAATTCAACTCAATCCGAGTCCAAATGAGTCCGAATCAAGGACCCGAAGCGTTGTTGGAATGTTCAAACATCAATTTGAGTTACCAAACGGTCTCCGATTTTAACGAGCTTATACTCGAATCGAGCGGCTCGACGAGACGAATCCAACGAGCCCAAGATCGCCGAATTCCAACATCATTAAGGCCTTAAAATGCCCAACGAACGGTATATGATCAAATGATTCGATATCGGCCGTCCATTCAGAACACTCCCAATTCGCCCCTGATCTCACGCCTATTAACGTGCTATGCCACTTCAGAAAAACTATAAATATAGCCCTCAATCTACACAAAAGGGGCTCAAGTGAAGAGAGAGAAGAAGAAGAGAAGAAGAATGAAAAGAGGAAAAGGCGATTCCTCTACTCCTCGACCACCGCCGGAGCTCTTCCTGCCGCCTGAATACGCGGGAACTCTGCCGGATTTTCGGGAAACGACGTGATTCTGCAAAACTTTGTAAATTGGCTTCAAATTGTAATCTGACCGTCCTGATTTGTGGGACGAATCAGTATCTTGTAATTTACAAAAACACTAGTGGAATTTTGCAACTGGGCAAGGCCCCGTGGTTTTTCCCTTTTTGAGTTTTCCACGTACAAATCCCGGTGTTCTTTTATCTTCGTGTTTGTGTGTTAAACACACGTGCAACGCTCGGACGCGAATTTACAAACTCTACCGCCGCGTATTTTCTAGCACACAACAATATTTAAATACTTAATACCATTTGACTACTTTTTTTGGGCTATTTAAACAAGAATCATTCATCCCATTTTTCATTCATTCACTCTCAGTATATTCTCTATCCTTTATTTTTTTCCAATTTTTTCAATAACTTTCCTCTTCACTATTTGCTTTACACATAATTCTCTTCTTCAATTTAACTTTTTTTTTTTAGAGAGAAATCCCAAAATAGCCCCTCGACTGTTAACAAGTAGTTAATTTAATTTCAATGTCTCACATTGCAATAATTAATTAGTCCTTAGTTATTGGTTATTGATTTAATTTGGTCCCAACTCCCAAGGCAAAAATAAGTTCAATTTAACACCGAGGTTTAAATGTGAGGATATTTTAGGTACTGCAAGAATATGCAAAATTATATGAATTATTTAGCTCCATTTTATCATTTAATAAATTATAATAAATATAAAAATTAAAATAAAAGTCATCCTACTAACTGTAAGAATGAATAATTAGTAAAACAATATTGTCTGTTAAGTAAAATCTAAATAAAAGATCGTACAAAACTTCAAAACTAGCTTGCTCCCCTTTATCTTTGTCGAAGACATTGCTTCTCTGCTTGCACGCCCAAAATCTTGCTTGCAACCTTTCAATATGTTGATTTGCCACTCGCATGCACCATGGCAAACCCTATTGTTGAATGTCACTTCATTGATTCATCACTTGATCTTGTACTTACATGGGATAGTTCTAAGATGGGATGAGATGTGGCATTATAAAACAAATAAATATTTTTTTTCTTCTAAAACATCCCCTCACAAAAGCAACAAACATGCAAAATACACTACAGGAAAGCAGCTCATTTCCGACAAAATTTCCGGCGGAATTAAATTCGTCACAAATTCCGGCGGATTTCGAACGGAAAATTTTCAACCAATTTCCGACAAATTTTTTTACTGCTTATGAACTAGTCTTAAGGTTAACCAAAAAGAGGTGAATTAACATTTTAAAATAAATCTTTCGATCAGAGCGGGGTTTGAACCCCGCCGAAGGCACAGAGACCACGCGGGTCCTGTTGGGCGGGCTGGCTTGACCGCCTGGGCTAGCTGGCTCTGTGCGGGCCGGTTGTGCTACTTGGGCTGAGTGAAAATTGGAGTTGCGGGCAGGTCGGGTGATTAGAATTTGTAATTAATTTTTTTAAAAAATTTTTCTTGAACTTCCGGCCCAAAAAAAAAACCCGCCGGAAATATTTTTCTTAAGAAAAATCCGCTGGAAATACGCCGGAAGGCCTTTTTCGACGCGCGTCAAACCGGCGGAAATATTTCCGCAGGAAATCCGCCAGAAATGCTAATTTCTAACGGATTTTGGCCAATTTTCCCGCGAAAATGTCTGCCAGAAAATGACGTTTTTCATGTAGTGATATTCTATTAAATTTGACAAATTTCCTACCAATGGTGCTAAATTCAAATAATTTTTAATAGTTAATGGATGAAATTGGGGCAATAGGAAACCATTAGACTTTTCGAGACATGAAGACAAATGAAAATAACTTTTTGACTCACAATCTAAAATCGATAACTATTATTTCTGCTCTAAAAATATTGAGGCATTTTCAATATGGAGTAACAAGATGGGAGATCATTATTACCATCTTAGTATGAAGTATTGCTTCACTTAGAAGGAATTAAATATGAGACAGAAATAGGTGGATTGAGTTAATAAAATATTATGATCTAAACATTCATCATTAGTCTGATAAGACTAATGTAGTGGAATATGCTTTGAATAGGAAATCCTCTAGAATAGTTAGTAGTATGTTTGCTTCTCATGCTTATATGATTTGAGATATGGAAAGGTTGGAGTTGGATGTGGTTGATAAAAGTTTGTTAGGGATGTTAGGTCCTTATGAACTAGTCTTAAGGTTAACCAAAAAGAGGTGAATTAATATTTTAAAATAAATCTTTCGATCAGAGCGGGGTTCGAACCCCGCCGAAGGCACAGAGACCACGCGGGTCCTGTTGGGCGGGCTGGCTTGACCGCCTGGGCTAGCTGGCTCTGTGCGGGCCAGTTGTGCTACTTGGGCTGAGCAAAAATTGGAGTTGCGGGCAGGTCGGGTGATTAGAATTTGTAATTAATTTTTTTTTTTAATTTTTCTTGAACTTCCGGCGCAAAAACAAAAAAACCCGCCGGAAATATT